TTTCATTTCTAGTGTCTGACAGCTTGTTATATTCAAGGTTGATAGGGAAATTATACATCTAAGTGTTGCTTTTATAATATAAATGTTTAAAACATATGTACTTACATTCTTTTTTACCTGAGATCCTTTTTTAATGCAGTACCTAATCTGAAGAGTAAAATGCAGTAATTGTCTAGATTAGTCCTCTTTCACAAGTTTGTATGTGGGCTGTATGAATATGAGTATGCATAAATACACAAATTACACAACCTTTTTATAAAAAATAATTAAGACAATATTTTAATTTTTTCTGTCTGTCTAAAACTTTGCCTGTAGGTGTTTCATCCTTCCTTACCTTATATGACAGACACTTGTGGTCCAAAATGTCAACAAAATTATTCTGAACATATTTCAGTTCACATATAAATTTACAACTTAAAATGTACCTGTGTCTGGTCTGTCTATTGGCTGAATATTAATGCACCCACCTGACATGCAAAACTTCTCACCTGGACTACTTCCATTACCAAGACTGTTCATATCCTTTCCCCCTCAATAAAGTGTTCAGTTCTATCTTTCATATTTGCAGAAATGGCCTCCTAGCTTTCGATTATAATCTTCTATTCTATATGAAATCAATTTGAACAGGAAAAAAAGCATGAGCAGTGTCGATCGTAAACTCCAAGATGGATGCCTATATTGTTTTCACGTTTTCAGGGGGTTTTGAGACAATCTCTAATTTGATGTAACACGATACATTCAGGATTGTTAGAGACTTATTTTGATAGGGGTGCGCCTTATTCCTGCCCCCCAAAAAATAAAAAATCCAAACAAACTTGCTGACTTTTAAATCTATAAATTTAAAACAAATAAACAAACCAATCTACAAGCCATATGTATTTAAAGTAGTATTAAAGAAAATTTTTAGCCTCTCCTTGCATTACAGCACTGGACAGGTGGTTTTGTCAGATTATCTTTAAAATAGACTTTTATAGTTTTGCAATTACATAATTAACGCCATGAAAGTGATAACGAAGATTTAAACTATTGTAGATATAATTTATTAAGTTTTGTCTCTGAACAGTTTCATTTCCTTGACCTAACTTTTCAGTTATATTTTTGAATTGATTCTGAAATGCATTGAAGTACAGGGCATAAAGGAAGTTTTGGGTTCACATCTGGTTGAATTTATGCAATATTTTTCTCCAAAGCATTGGAGAATATTATCACTAGCTTCCACCTATACCAGTATACATTCTCAGGGGTATCCTACTTTTTTCATAGAATGGTTTGGGTTGCAAGGGACCTCAAAGATCGTATAATTTCAACCCCGCTGCTATGGCAGGGACACCTCCCACTAGTCCAGGTTGCTCATTTCCCTGGTTCTTGGCTGTTCAGAAATATGAGAACATACTATGACCATATTTAGCTGTTTGTAGTATTATCACATTGGAACTATTTGTCTTGAGAGAAATGGGCATATCAAAGTTTAAACTCATCTTGTAAGAAAGTAGGTATCTAAGGCCAGATTAATTGAGCCCTTAAAGTGTCTGCTTCTCTTTGTGACTAGCTTAGATGTGTACAATTGTATTGTTTGCTGACATGAATTCATCCCCTGAGACTTCTGAAAAGTGGAATCTAGTTTCACTACTTACTGTCATGTATGGTAAAACTGGTTTTGAACAGTTGCTATTTTCCTCACTGATTTCCACACTGACATATGCAAAATAATGTCTGGTTTACTAAGTATTAAAGAATATATTTGTTGTGTTTGGGTGATGATGCGGTTGTATGTACATGCATATGCAGCGTGACACATAGTTTAGTGATGGCATGTTTGGACCAAAGACATTTCTATAACTACTCCTTCACAGTATATTCAGAAACTATTGTTCAATAAACCAACATACAAAACCCAGTTAAAAGTAAAATTCTTCTCCTATAGTGTAAAGATGCTTCAAAGATCTTGAGTTGCTTGCTTTCCTAGTGGTATTTAATAGCCTTGGCCAAGTGATGCGAATAGTTATAAAAATCTCTTGATTGTTTTAAATGTGTTCACCGAGACACTCTTGTATCTATTTTCAGTCCCACCATAGATCCTGTGAACTGTTTCTTGTGTATATGAACTATGGATATACCTTTCAGGTGTTTGAGTAGAAACAAACAAAAATCCCAAACCAGTCTCCCTTCTTTAATGTGGTCTTATGATAATTTCTGAAAATAAAGGTGTGGTGGTTTGGCCTTGCCCGAGCCCGAGTTGCCCACCAAAGCCACTCTATCACTCTCACCCCCTCAGCTGGACAGGGGAGAGAAAATATAACAACAGGCACGTGGGTCAGATAAAGACAGTTTAATGAAGCAAATAGCTGCGCATGGAAGCAAAGGCAAAACAAAAGATCTTATTCTCTACTCCCCATCAGCAGGCGATGCCCAGCCACTTTCTGGGAAGCAGGGCTCCGGTACGCGTAGCGGTTGCTCTGGACAACAAACACAAAACAAATGTCCCCCCCTTCTTCCTGTTTTCCCCAGCTTATATCGCTGAGCAGACGTCATGCGGTATGGAATATCCCTTTGGTCAGTCTGGGTCAGCTGTCCTGGCTATAACCCCTCCCAAGTTTCTACCCACCCCCAGCCTACTGGGGAAATGTTGGGGAAACAGCCTTGATGCTGTGTGAGCCCTGTTCAGCAGTAGTCAAAACACTGGTGTGTTATCAGGCTGCCACTGCACAGCACCATGAGGGCTGCATCTGAGGCAGACCCATTATAAAAGGACAAATATCTCCCTAATGTGAGTCGTTAAACTCATCCGAGCACCTGAGATTATGTATTCAAGCCCACTCCCATTTTACTTAGGTGTTGGAAGAATAGCTAGGCCTATCTTCTGATTCATGAGGAGTTATTTTACAGTGGTACTCAGAGAAACCCGAAAGAAGTTTGCAGCTATATCCTACGTTTGTATTTACATAGAAATAGGATCTTAGAAATCTCACACAATGATGAGAGAGCATTACTGTTATTCCAGTATGGCTCTACTATGTGAAGGTACAGTTCTTGAGTCCATGACTTCCACTGAGGGTATAATTGCTTATGGACTTCAGTTATTTTGGGGCAAGGGAAAGGCTTCTGGAATTAAAAGTTTTTTTAAAAAAATAAAAATGTAGTATTTTGTGGCAAAAGATCCATTGTGATCCTGCAAATAACATATTTCTCAGAACCATTAGCAACGTTAATAGGTTACATTATGATGATACAGAAGGAAATTTGCCTTTTGCCTCTTGAGATAAAAGCCTCTATGTATTTAGAAAAAAGCATGGTCTCTTCTGTCAGAAGTGTAAAAATTTTTATCGTCGTGTCCTATATCTATCCTATAAATTGCCTCTTAGTAGTATGCTATTTTCTCCTGAGTCTTGTTCTTTTCTTGTGCATGGTAATGATTACTTTCATTTATAAAAACCCCCATAAATAGTATTTTGCTACTTTAGTATTTATGCCTTGTGTAAGGGTTTCTTTGACTATTCATTGATTTCATATAAGAAGTTAATGGGTGCTGAAAAATTCTTCGATGATTTACTGTCTATTTTCTCGTATTAGCTTCTCTTAGATGTAATTCCTTTAATCTCTGCTGTCTTCATCAGCAGTATTTGATTGTAGCCAACATAAAACATCTTCTTCTATACAGTTTTAAAATATATCTAATCTATAAAGTCACTTGAGTATAATGTGCCTAAAAATAACCTACACTTAAATTTTTTTAGAAGGTTCATTTTATGTATGGTTCATTGCTTGTTGGCAGAGTGTATTGGAGAAACGAGGCACTTAGTTTAACGACCAAAAGAAGTTTCTTGTGCTTTTTTTTCTTTATTCTTTTGCCTTTTGGTATCTGTTAAATTTTGGTTTTACTCTCTTCTTATTAGTTATTTTGTCTCAAAAATATGTTGACGCCATAATCTAAACACAGATAATAAAATTTCAGTATTTCCTGAATAAAAATGATTCTTCCGTACTAAAGCTAGGAACATAGCTAAAGCAGATTTTGAAAACAACTAGTGGAGATACTTTCAGAATGAGGAGGTAATCTAGGTGCCTATAGATCTTAAGAATGTATTCCAGTGTTTTACTTTTAGAAGGGCTTTTTCTCTACTAAAACATTGTACTTTTTTAGGTGTTGCCCCTGTTTTGTCTTTTTCACGAATGTAATACTGACTTTTAATGTAAATTTTAAAATCTGAAGTAACAGGCAAAACATATTGACAAAAAATATGCTGGCTTTTCTATTGCTGAATAAACCTTGTCAGAGTATATGTGGATTAATATATGTCCAGTATTTCTTGGATGTTTATGGAATTCAGATCTGAGCATAGATACTGGATTTCAGTGTGCTTTAAGTAACATGGACAGTTATTTTTTCCTTTGAAATTCATAATCACTGGAAAGAATAATTGAATTAAAATTTCACAAAAAAACGGCTGTTTAAAAAAATGTCATAGTACCTTTTTTTTAAAAGGCTACTGAATTTTCAGTAGGCAGATATGATAGCATTCTGCAGGTTTTTTTCTTTTTTTTTTTTTCTTTTTTTTTTTCTTTTTTTTTTTTAATGGATGGAGCGGGGTATAAGTACTGCTCTTTCTTAACACAGAAGAAACACCAGATAAGATTCAACAGTTCAACAGTTTTAGAGCAAACATATGTAATTTGTTTTATTTTCCAGGTTCCATAAATGTGTGGCAATATTTTACACAACTATATGGTGCACGGAAATAAATACTTTTGGCCATAGTTTTTTTCCTTGGTTATGCTGGAGAAAAATTGTTACAAATGTTACTTTTTTCCTTTGTCAGGTGTACAAATTGGTCTCAACACTTGTTTTTGTAAATTGTTTTCCACCAAAGGTACACAATATGAGCTTGTTAGGTAGCTGGTACTCTAATTTGTATATACTTCCGTGATAAAAATTGTCAAATGAAATGAAATATTTTAGACTGTATTGCCTGATATGTGTTTTTGTTTGTTTTTTTAACTAGTGAAAAAGGCCATAGATTTTAAATCTAGAGGATTTAAATTGTTTCCAGGGAAAGACAACAGCAACAAGTTTTCTATCTGTGAGTGTACTCCTTTTTTGTTACTTTTTTCTAGTGCAAGAGTGAAGTTTGTGCTGTCTGTGTTGTTTGTGTGTTTTTAAAATTGTTTATGTATTTCCAACAATATAACTGACTTAAATCTGTTTCTTCAGTCTGCATGGTGAATTTTTAAAAATGGTTCTACTCTAAAGGCAGGCTTTCTATAAATCTGGCATTCTAGAAAGGCGTGTTATTTTGTCAGTGACTTCACACTAAATTTGCAATATTTGCAGAGAAATATTCAGCCTCCCAGGTGTCAGCTGAGATCTCAGCTGTGAGCAGGCAATCCGTTAATTAAAAATTAGTACTAGCAGCAAAAGGCTGTACAAATCAAAGCCTATCCTCATTTATAAGTGTGCAACCACATATTTTTTTCCAGCGACACACATGAGGTCACTTTCTGAAAATTTTTTTCTTCATTAACGTTGACATTTTAAACTGATTAACTAATTGTAATTTTAAAAATTCTGGAGAAGCTTAATGCCTTCAATTTTAATTACAGAAAATAGAAACCAAAAATGCTCAGCATCTTAGAGGACCAAGCCCTGATTAACTCATAAGGAGCAGTCAGGCAACTTTCTAACATAAATTAAACAGGTACGACTCTAAATACATTAAAGAGGATATCTTTTGCAAAAGAAGGTGCCATTTTTATAGAGTTCCTTTTTGGATTAGAACCGCATTTTAAATATTTAGAAGTAATTTGTTAAAATAAAGATGGACTAAATACTTAGCCTATGTCTGCTTATACTACATTTCATTATTCTTTATAGGAGCGAAAGGAAGCTCCTTAGGTTGGACACACTTGCACTAATTTTTGTTTAACATGTCAGTGATGGATTCAGTTTCCAGAATTTAGCAGGGCACATTGACATAAATTTTATGCCATTTTTCAGTTTTAGAATTTAAACTCTCAGCGTATTAGATGTAATTTTTATTTTTTATAAAAAGATGTCTTCAAGCAGCAAGACTTGAACATTTGCCAAGTCAGAAAAATAAAGCGAAACACACTTCTGTTCAGTTTTATAGTGTAGCGTATCGCCATATTCAACTTTTCTGAAAACTGCATCACCTAGATAGTTCCATAAAACATTGCTGGTTTATCTGAAAACTTTGTATCAAGAAATTTTTTTTAAAAAGGTATTCTCTATACGCATATTGGATGACTTGAAAGTATAGTGATTATACAACAAGAAATAACAGTAAGGTTATTTATTACTGAAGTCTGTCTGATGTTCCATCTGTCCTTTTATAATTACAAGTGAGAACAGTACAATGGCTGATAAAATGGATTGTTTCTCCATAAATTTATTTTGCACAAATTGTTAAATATTCCACTATATAAACATTAATAGGAATTGCATATTGATAGTGAAGTACCAGACACTCATAATATCCAAGGGTGATTGTTATGAAATTAGTGATGAAATTTATCAGTATATTTTTGAAAGTCTTTATGTAGTTTAATATGTTATGATACTCTATGTAAAGCTGAAAACTTCTGTATCTTGTTTTATTGGTTATGCAGAGTAATTACCTATATAAGTCAATAATAAGTGAAGATGAAAACCTTGATGATTTGTACCTTTAGTGACCATAATCTTGTCATAAGTAGATAACTAAGATTTCATATTGTAATCTAGCATTTGTTAGCTAGTCATTTTGGTAGCTGAGGAAATTGAAGAGGCAGTATTTAATGAAAAGCCTATGTATTTAGGTGTTGACTTTAGGTAAAATTCCCAGCGTGGCCTCAGCTGGATCTGTACTTGCATTAAAATGACAGATAGGGTTCTTTTTAAAAAAAGTGACCTGTTAGTGTCACTGTTAGTGGAAATGAGATAAGGATAAGTGAATATCTATTTTCCATTATGCCTTGTATTAACAATATCTCCAGAAATTATCATCTAATGTTTATCATGTGTATGTCTTTTCCTTATTTTTTTTTTTTTTTTAATATATCAGGTATGTAACATTCAATACTAATGCATAGGTGATTTGCACATACTAAAGCCAGAGTGGTAATATTTGATATGATGATACACTTTGAAAGAAGTATGCATCAACTTCATTTCGCAAGTGTTGTGATTAACAAAAAAAAATAAATCATTTAGGGACCTAATTCAATCTGGATTAGAACTCTGGAATTTCTTGCTCCCGGTTTCATGACCAGACCATAAATGAATGCTTTCCCTAAAGAAGCCTTTAATTTACTATAGGAAACCTTTTCATTACTTATTGTCATATGATTATCTGGGGTGTAAAACAAACAATATATATAGACAGATATCTGGGGAATGACAGACCTGTATTTCAGTAGACTGAAAAATCAAGCATTATGTCTGGAAAAATAACATCAATACACAAATAATAAAATGTACATTTATTTTTTGCTAAGTACTTAAAAGAAATCAGAATGGACTTAAGTTTGCGCTTAAATGCATTTCTGATTTGGGATCAAATCAGAAATCAGTTTAATGACTTCTACTTATAACTATTTCTGAATTTTTACTGTGGTATATGTCTTATTTTAATTCTGTCACTGTAATAATTTTATTGATCTTCTTTTACATAATTCTTTATGGTTTTATTTATGAATATTAATAAATCCATAATTTATAGTTTTAAAATCCATTTCATAGAGTATTTTTAAGAATGGAACTTTATACAGAAGATGCCAGACAACAATAAGATTTTCAAGCTTTTATTTTTGGTAAAAATTAATGTATACAGTAGTTCTTGTGCTTTGAAAACCAGTAGAATAATTTTTTTTTAATATGAATATTCATTCTCTTGCCTGCGTATGGGGAAATACAGTGTATAACAAATAAAATAATTATTTGACATATTAAACCATGAATTACAATAAATAGAAATAGTTCTGTTTAAATATTATTTTTATTTTTTATAGTAAATAATGTATTCTCTGTGTGTAGATATATGATACAGCCCCAAAATAGAGTCATAATATTGTTATTTCTTTAATATTGTTATCAGGCATCATGAATAATTTCCTAACTATAATTTTAACTTATGTTTAATGTCAGAAAATTTAGCAGACTGTCACAAAGTTGAGGTGTCTTTTACCCTGCTTGTTCTCAAGTATACTTCCTTTCCCTTCCTGCACTGGTCAGTGAATCCTAACTATCTACCCAAAGTTTTAAGGTCTTTTCTGTATATACAGGCTACTGTTTTGATACAGGCTTTGGAACTATAGAGAAGTACCCAGATATTTCAAAGAGAGAGTTAATTCTAAATGCTTATCCAACAAGTTCCTGCTACATGGCCTTGTGTAATGCAGTTTATGGAATTGTAATTGTCAGAGATATATGGATTTCAACACTAACAGGAACTTGGGTTTCTAGTATGCTTTCATCACACCTACAAGTATCGGGGGAGGAGGAGACTGCAACACAGTAATATGGATGAGTCCTAAGGAAGAGCCATCCTAGCCTAAAACTCCCCCAAGCACAGAGGTGCAGATGAACGGAGATTGCCTTGGGTTTACTGTTAGAACAACCTTGGACATGGTACAGTGCTTTTGGGGCAGAGGAGGGTAAATGCTGTGGTTCCAGTTGACACGGGGTTCACTTGATAGTTTTTTTTAAGCAGTGTGCTAAGCTGAGATGCTTTCCTGTTAACACTCTGCAAGATTTTCATTTGGCTTCCTCAGGGATACCAAACCAATTCTTCCCTTTCTTCGTGTGTAAGACAAATATCGAGTAAGGGAAAACCCTGAAGTATTCTGAATGTTATTGTCCTTCATTAAAAGCTGAAATTTAATAAACACTGTTTAGAAGTAGAGTGAGAAACGACATTTTTTTATTTGGGCACATTCAATTTACAGTGCAATGTGATTAGCCTAATTATATGTAAACTTTATTTAAAGGAAAGTTAAAATCTAATACTGCAAATCCATTGGTCTAGTTCCTCAGAAATAAAAATGAATAAATGTGAAAATCTCTTCTGCTTAGTGTAAATGTTTTAGTTTTATGTCAACTTCTGTTGATGAAAAAAATATTCTTCTATTGGGCTGTGAGTTTACCAAGTAACAGCAGACCAAACTTCTTTACTAATGTTTTTTGGGGGAACTGCTACCTTCTGGTTCAATGAGCTTCAAAATCTAAACATAAACTTAACAGAATTATTTTGGCCTAAAATTATTTTCATAAGATATACTTTTGCAAGCTGTAAAATTACAATAAAGTATATAATGCATTGAAAAAAAAACCTGGGTGAAGAAGTAGCTGAATATGCTGAGGGCTAAGTGCCTACATGCACATTTCTGGGAAAACACACTGAAAAGGCTCACAGGAAGTTTCTCTCTGAAGATTCTGAAGATCCATTTAAGTTTATTGCAAGATAAATGTATGCAAATCAAACTGGCATTTTGAGTTTACTTTCAGATCACCATATTTTGGAGATATCTGCATTTTCAATTGTGATTAAGGACAGTTCTCTCGGCACGAGCCTATGCATTCAGGTTTTATTATAATTCAAGGAGAAAAGGTCAGCTCTTAGTGGAGATGACATTTATTGGATTATGTTCAGAGTAAAATCTTACAACCCTAAACTTGATGAACGCTTATTTAAATGTTAATGTTTTTAAAGGAAGAGTAATAACATTTCCATAAGGGTTCAATAATATTACAAGCAAACAAAATAGCTGATTAGTACAACTTATAAAAACTTGTGGGGTTTTTTTTCAAAACAAAACAAAACCAATCCAGAAAATACATACTTTGCTTACTGTAGAGAGGAGAAACTTACATGTCGAAACTAGAGATTATATGGGTGAACATACTCTGTAGAAAATTTGTTTCAAAGGACCTAAAATGCAGATAATGTACTTTTTCATATTTGTTAATTGCTTAAATCTGTATTTCCTAAAAACTGTATTATTTTATCTTTTTTTTATTATTATTTTGTTTTATTTTATTTTTGTTTTTGTTTCTTTTTTTTTTGCAGTAAATGAGGGAGGTATTAAACAGGCATCCAATTTGTGTCCAGATCCTGGAGAACCAGAAAATGGAAAACGGATAGGCTCAGATTTTAGGTAAAATATAAACCCTACCATTGTATCATTTCTCTAATACTGAACTTGAAAAATGTCTATGTTAAAAATGTATTGCTGTTATTGAGCTACTCTTTCAAAACTGAACTTCTCAGTAAAAAGCAAAATGGAATTCTGTATAAAATTATGTAGTGCAATATAGCCTGTAATTAGTATGCAAAGAAGGTAAAATACCTACTTGGAAGAAAGCATGTATCTCTGATAATCTGGCATTGGATAAATTGGATTGAAGGTAAGTTAAAATAATTTTCATTTGAAGACTGTATTGGATTTACAAATACTAAGCATACATGTGGCACTGGAGTTTTTTGTGAAGGACAAAGTAAAATTGAAAAGAACAATAAGAACAATAAAACCTCAAAGAATAGGTCCCAAATATTATTATACATATATTAATTGGAATCTAATAGAGAATATGTCATTTTGTACAGTATGTTTTTCAGGAATCCAGAAGTTTGATATGTGCAGATGTACTTCCCTAGTAGTCCTTAGACTGGTTTAGCACTCTTAATGCAGACTATTTTTTTCTTTATTTTGATACATACCAAATAGTACTGTATAGTATTACTGTATAAAAAAAAAACAAAACAAAACAAAAAAAACCAGAACTAAAAAGCTGTACTTTGTTTCTATGCTCACATTTCATTACTTGCTGGCTTTTTTGAATGTTTCTAGGCAGACACCAAAGAATTATACAGTGCCAATGATCTATTCCACCATTTTTTTTATTTAACTGGAACTCAAATTTTAGCCCACTTTCATTTCATCACATATTAGTAAGGATTAAACAAATATATTATTATGTATTTGAATATACAGACAAATTTTAGACTATTAATAAATCTAAAGCTATGTTCTTTGCTTTACATCATATGCTGATTTCACATTATCATGTTTACAACTCCCTTCAAAACACCTCAGTGAGGAAACAGAAAAGGAAGACATAAGTAGGAGGGAGATTGATAATTTTAAAATTAATTTGTTTTATTACATTGTTTTGTTTTTCATATATTTTGTATTTTACATATCACACAGCACACTTCCTAACATTTGAAAATAATGTTAGAGTAACCTGGGGGATGAGCAAAGATTTTATGAAATTACGTTACTTCATTCTTTTACATAACTTCTTGTACTTTTTGTTGTTTTGTTTTGTCTTTTCTCCCCGTAATCATGCAGAACATAGAATTGACAATGATATCCCAAGTAAATGTGCTAGCTGGCAGTTAGTTATCTATTATAGTCTCTATGTTTCTCTAATTTTGAGGGAAAATGTTCAATGTGCATCAGAGAAAGCTTTATAACAAATTTTATATAGAATGTCATTTCTGACATTACCTGGCAAAGAAATGATTTCTAGATATTTTCAGAGAACTAAAAATAGATTAATTTTATTTCTTAACTGTCATGCTTTCTAGAACCACTGCTTAGGCCAGTGTTTTGTATTTTAACCTCAGAAATATGGCTTGGTAGCAACAGACTTTGACAGAATCTGCAAGTCCTTTTCTAATGTTGTCTCTGCAAGTGACCAATGAAAGATCTACCTGCAAGATCATTCTAGTTAAACTTATGTCAGGGGCATTACCTTGAAGGAGGTATGATGAAGCCCTCATCTTTCTTTTAGGCCAAATTATTAGAATACAATTTAGCTTTGTTTTTTACTATACACTGTGATGATGTGACTATCAAGATTTCCTATTTCAAATAAATTTATGAGAAAATGAAATAAGTCATTCAAATTACTGAACAGAATACAGCATGTACAAGATATCAAAAGTAATATGTTTTCTTTTAAAGTGTTCCCCCCCCCCCCAATTTCTCACTAAACTCAGTGAATATCTTTTTTTTCTTTCTGAAAAAAAGATGCCCAAATTATCTGAGGGAAGACCAGCTTTTCTATCAACTCCCATGAATGTGCTATTTAATGCTTATAACATAATGACAAATCTAATCCCATCATAGTGGAATAAATAAGTAGGACACTTCAAATGTATGTATGTGAAAGAATATGGCTTGTACATAGAGTACCCACTGCAAGTAAAAAAAAGTGAAAGTGAAAAGATATGTTCAGTTTAATGACATTTTTGGAGAACAAAAGAGGTAAATAAGTTTTTATTCAAAGCAAAATAGACAGAAGATGTAACAGATACATTATTATGCTTTTGGTCTTATGGGTCGTAATTTTAGGGGCGGGGATGTTTATTTTGGTGAAGAAATATTTTTCACCTTCCACCAAAGAACGTGTTTTCAGATCAAACTGAACTCAATTTTTTGTATTGATCCTTGTTTTGATCACTTCTTGACATTAGTATGGAACCAAACTTTTTACAAATCATGAAAAATTTTTAAAAACCCCACAAAATCCCAACAAACTAGCACTTAACAAATCCTCTTTCTGTTGAAGGCAGATGCTAGGAACAGTCTAAAATCCTGCTGATCTTAAGGGTAGCCTACTTGCTTCCTGGTTTCTCTAACAGGTTAGACTGCAGAGCAGTAAGTTTCTAAAAGCACAGGCTTCTCAATGGCTTCACTACCACCTCAAATTTAAGTTCAAAATCTGTCTTCAAACTAATTCCTTTCAACTAAATATTTGAATTTTCATGGTTCAGTTTCTTTCAAGATAAAAACAATTTGGCCTGGATAATCTTCTCCAAATAAATCCCATCTAGCACAACATCTTCTTAATAAGCAGGTCTATTCTGAGCATAGCTCTCAAACAACCCAGAAAAGACTAGTTTCGTTTCAAAAGATACTTCCCACTATTTTGTGGTAGCTTCTCTTTATAATACAAAGACATTGTATTTGGAAATAGTGGGTGGACATATATACACACACATGTGCACAATTTCTAGCCAATTTATTGACAGGCCTTGATAAAGGCAACAATTACTCTTTTAGTTGCATTAATCTTGCACATACTAGGAATAAATAAGGTGGTTTCCTATCTAAGGCTTGTTAAAGGTCTTACGAATGTGAATGGTGAGATTTATACTTGTAAAGAACAAGACTGGTGAATGTTAGTAATACATATGTACTTTATTTCAAGTTGAACACTTGATACATTGAAAAGAGGTCTTACAAGAACAAAAGCAAACTAAGTTAGCAGACTGAATAAAGTTCCTTTTTAAATTAAACTGGTTTCAATTCTTGCCATTATTATAATTGTTGCTCAATTGCTTCATAAGCTTCAAAAGTAAGAACGTTACTAATTCTTTAAAAAAAAACCATTGAAAGAAAATGCTTACATTTAGTTAAAAAAATCTTTTCCAGGTTGTCTTATACATGACAGAGAGAAAAATAACACACTTTTCCTTTTCTCTTCCTGAAGTCACTCTCTCTAACATAGGAAATAGCTTTACTTTGAGCTTGCCTTTCCTGCCCCAACCACCCCCCCCTCCCAAACTTCTCATAAGGAATTGAAAATCCCAATTACAATACCTTAATTTTAAAATACAGTATTTTGAAGAAGCGTTTAGATCTATCTTTGTCAAGATCAATCAAAATGTAATTTCAGTACAATTTAATCTATTTTAGAGAAAAACATGCTCTTGTCACTTCTCATTAGCTTTCTTCAAATGTGAATGTATAGGTTTGGAAGCATTTTATTGTGATTTTATTCCTGTTCTGATTATACACGCTACCTGCTTTCTCAGCACATTCATATGTTCTTACACAGGCTTAGAAAATCTGTAATGCAAGCTCTAAGAGAAGCTTCAGCATTTAATGACATTCTTTGGGACCAGACACTGCTTGTTCACCCTTTTGGATATTTTTTTCTAATGTGAAAATTCCCCATGGCTATATTTTGAAGTTTTAAAGGCTTTGTTTCTGATGCTAGATGCCTATTTGATCATAACAGGCTTTTGCAGGCTGAAATAAAATCAAGACGACTTACAAATAACTGCCAGCTTTTTGTATATTGAAAAAGATATTTTACTTCAGAAAAAAAAATTCCCTTCTCTCGCAGCTTCTTAAAATTTTAGGTGTACTTGTGTTTGTTCTGCTGGAATTTCCAGCAGCTTATTTTACATTACCTATCATACAGTAACATGCACATCTTTTCCATGCGTGTCCAATTTTAGAATCAATGCCACTATGGAAAATATAAGAAATCTGTAATAGAAAGAGAGAAAGAATTTTCTTGGGGTCTTGTTGTGTTTTTTCCTTTTTTTTTTTAACTGTTGGGGTTTGGAGGCTTTTTTCTTTTTTTTACAGTGGAATAAACATATCCACCTGAACATGAGGAAAAACTTCTTTACTTTGAGGGTGACCAAGCACTGGAACAGGCTGCCCAGGGAAGTTGTGGAGTCTCCTTCTCTGGAGATGTTCAACGCCCCCCTGGACGCGATCCTGTGCGACCTGCTCTAGGTTAATCTGCTCTACCAGGGTGCTTGGACTAGATGATCTCCAGAGGTACCATCCAACCCCTACCATTCTGTGATATCTAAACTGAATTATACTTGGACAAGTATTTTATTATAAAACAAACATGTTCCTGCACCACCATCCCAAAGTTCTGACTTCATGAAATAAATGACCCTATCTCTGTCTCTCTCTCTCTGAAGTGTAGTCCAACTAGATAGCTAAAGATGAGATTCAGCTCAAACTTGGATCACAACAAAGCAGTAAATGCTATTTGACAGCCATCAAGATGCTAATATGGTCTTAAAAATACAGATTCTGTTGAAAGACGCATATCAAGTTTATATTAAACTCAATTAATCATATCAATAAGTTGAATTACAGTAGAACTAATTTTAGATTATAAATTAACTTATAGTTATTTTCTTTGGAAGAATGACTTTGAAGTGTAACCACATTGATTGACTGGAAGTTTCACACTTAATTTTCCTTAAGCCTTCTCTGAATCACATACCCTTCTCTGCAGATATGCAGGTGAGCTTCTAGGCTCTGAAAATTTAAGCCAAACAGCCTGCAAACTGAACAAAACTCAGGTGATTTGTAGCAAGAGATGTGAGGCT